ATTTTGTGAAAATTGGTTAATTATTGGATTAGTGGGGATTAATAAATTGATTAAGAAAGGAGATGAAATTTGGATAAGTTTAAGAAGGCATTACGTGGCAGCCATATTGGTCATTTGAAGTATGACTCTTGAAGGTGTCACAATATAAGGATTATATGGCTTAGTCATAAAACTATGGAGCTCACACTCAAAGTATATAAAAGATCTCTCAAAAATGATTATGATTACATATGTAGTAATCCAAAGGAATTCTTATGAATGCTTGCTAAAGATATACGGATGGAATTCCCAGAGAAAGATTATTTGCTTCCTTTAATATCCAAGCTATTGGGATATGCCATTGTTGCTGCCTCCACTACTGTTAAACTTCCTTAAATACGCCCTTCAATAATGGGAAAAACAAAGATCAAGATTGTTCTCAAATTTTGCTACAATAATGTGAGGCTTTTATCACAAATTAAAGACGGCCATATTCATCAAGGTAACGGTCTTAAGCATAATTTTCTACGAAATTACACTGCGTAATAACAACGGGGTTTTGCAACTCTAGGGGAGTACGGTGCAATCCTTCTCAAGAATACCATACGGATTTTTCCCTACTCCAGGTATGTTAAGGCTATCCCTTCTTTCTTTTTGGCATGATCCGTACGATACAAACGAAACGAGAAAATGCACAACTTCCATAAATGACTCTAGTCATAGAAGTATTAGAGGTGCCTATATTCTTGAATTCGCATGTGTCCTATTATTTTATCATCTGTTCATGGGTCTCAGAAAAATATATAAGTTGAAAAAGTTTACTTCATGATATTAATCAGAGGCATGATGGTCTTATGATGTACCAAGAGATTTTATTAACGTATTTCATATGCATTTCATGCATTTATACATGCATATTAACCCATGACCAGATGGCGTTATATATATATATATATATATATATATATGTATGTATGTATGTATATATACGTATATGGGATATGGGAAAGGTTATGGCATTATATACGCACCACCACTTGATCAGCTGGTATACGTTGATGATTTTGCCCACAGTGACCGAGATGATATGATGGGATGCCCTTAGAGGCTTGATGATGTTATGTACGTACAAACCTATACATTACATGACATTTATATGCATAAGCACAAGAGACGATTCGCTCTAGTCCCGTAACCAAGCGAAAGAAGATTCATGGACAGAAGCTGCGGGTAAAACCTCGGTTTGCCCTCAACTATATACGTTGATAGGGGATAACTTCTTTGCTAGCTACCAGCTAAAGGTGATACTATCTACAACTCCTGAAAGAAGTATGACATTATAAATATTTCATGGTTTACAGAGTTATCCAGACTTACAGATTGAGTCATTTACTCTATATTTCTTCCGTGTCTGTTATGTTATTATGTGCCTTACATACTCGGTACATTATTCATATTGACATCCCGTTTACTTGGGGACGCTGCGTTTCATGCCCGCAGGTCCCGATAGACAGGTCAAGAGTCAAGAGCCCTCCAAGTAGGCTATCAGCTCAGCAGAAGATGTTGGTGCGCTCCATTTGCTTCGGAGTTGCTTATTTGGTTAGTATGATTTAGACTTGTATTGTTTGGTATGGCGGGACTCTGTCCCGACCTTTATGAAAATTATATATTCTTAGAGGCTTGTAGACAGATGTCATGTACGTAAAAGATTGTATGGCCTTGTCGGCCTATGTTCAGTATACGAGTGGTTATTTTGGTCTTAATATGTTCGTATGTCTTACGTATAAGTTGGTATCACATGTTGTATTTTACTTATCTCACGGCAGCCTTCCGGCTCAGTTATTTATGATAGTATGATATGAAAAGATACGTTATGTTGGTACTCGGTTGTGTAAGGTTCCGGGTGCCCGTTGTGGCCAATCGATTTGGGTCGTGACAAAAGACTTCAAAATGGCATCGTCGGTAGCACCAATCAAGAAATTGCCACTTCTTGAGAAGATGCTCAAAACATTTAAGAACAAGTCTAGATTAAGCTCTAAATATACCGATGCATTGAACTTTTTCCTTGATACTAATGTTCTCTTGAAAAGAGAATTCCCTTGACTCGCATACAAATAGATATTTGGCAACTTAGCCACATAGCCAAGACAAATTGGTCCAATGATAGATTGCAGAAGGTTTAGCTTAATCATATTGCCACATCCAAATTCATAACACAGTAGACCCTCCAAATACATCATTCCCTTCTTTCTATTGTCCTCAAAAGGTGATATCCTATGCAACATATCAGAATAACTACAAGAACAGGGAGCATAACCAGTTTCTACATCCCAAATTACAGTGATCTTCTCTTGCATCTTCTTGAAAACAAACTGAACCATCTCTAATCTAATGCCGTTGCTACAAATCTTAATCAAGGCAATGAAGACAGAAATATCTAGGAAGAACCCACTAACCTTTATTCTCTGTTCAGATTCGAGACAGTCACAGGTGTGTAAGCCAAAGTAACTTTTTTATGCCACCAATTAACTCTATTAACATTATTCGTATTTATATGCTTCCTTGACGCATCCAAGAATTCTCCTAGATTTGGATTCTGAAACCAGCATCTTAAGAAATCAGTAATGAAGTTTTCAACCACATCATCCTTATAGTAGATATTCACCAGTAACAAAGTTACTTGCCTTGTTTGGAACCAACTTGTCACAATTTTGTTGAAGTTCATGCGAGTAATTACATTAAGTCCTTCAGTTTCATTCAACTCCTTCCACATAATTTGATCAATAGAACAAGAAAATATTCCTATTACTTCAAAAAGCCAGAGTTCAGCTAATACAAAACTTTCACAATTGAGTTTATTTTGAGCTTTAGTAAGAGCTCCATCAGTCAATGTCGCAATACTAGCTAGAGATCCCGCTTTGTCTCCAAGCAAACAATTATCAAACACCTGGCACTCTTTATTTTCATCGAGACTGAATCTAAGAAATGAACCAACATTCTCTACAACACATTCAGGGATAAAAACCTCTTGCGAAATCCGCGTGGCTCTTTAAAGACATTTATCGAACTCTTAGTCTGCATCTTTTTCTGAATTTTCCTCCTTCTCAGATGCAACTATGGGAGGAAAATACTTTCCCAGCTCGACAAAATTGACAGTGTCAACAACCATTCCTCCATTGCTCTTTGAACCTTCCTTATCCTCATAAGGAGAGCAAGAATCATATGTAGGAGTCTTCCAATTCTTTTCGTGACCAACGTCGAACATCATACCTGCTTCTTTTCCTACGGTTCCCTTTTCATTTTCAACTTCCATTGAAGAATCCTTATCCCAATCAACCGAGTCTTCATGTTTTCCAGAATCCAAGAATGAAGGATTGAGATATTGGTAATCATCCCTTGACATTTGACTCCCAAGAACAAAATGCTTGGCCTCCAAATGACCATTGTAAGAATTGAGATCACCGACCCCATTAGACTTCAAACCAATATTCGAAGCAAGGAAATGGCCAAAACTACATGCAAAATTCATTAAACACACTTTCGGCACAAAAGAGAAAATATGAGCATTTGCACCGAGTGTTTAGCTTTTGAAACAGTACCAATCTTACCTGCAATCTCCATTGTTTCACTAACACTAGCCTTGCTCAGAGCCAAGAGTTCTCTGCTCTTCTCATCGAAAGTCACTGGAACATCATGCTCTAAGCCTTGTGAGACAATTTTCACATAACTCTTTTTCGCATCCTTTTTCTCTGAGCTAAGTGCATCTGGACATCCAGCTACATCCCATTGAGGATATTCATCGAACATCTTTCCTTCCTTATTTTCTGAGTGTTCCTCATACTCAACTTTATCCTCTACAAATGCATCTGAATAAGGAATATCCGAGGTTTTGTTTACATATTCCAACTTGACTACATTTTCTCTTGGTGTATCCTCATCTCCGTCACTTGGTTTCAAAACATCCAAGTCTGGGATGCTCTTGGAAACAATGGGTGGTGATTCCAAATCATTGAAAATTTCAGCAAACACCTTGTCTGCATTTTCACCTTCGATTTCCATGGGTACTTCTTTGACCCAGTACTCCATCTTTTTGACACTTGAATCTGATTCAATCTCTAAGAAAGCGACCCTTTCGTCTTCAATAGTCCCAGCTTCGGCTTTTGTCAAAATGAATGGAGGCTCAACACATGGGTAATCTACTTTCGGCATTTTGTTCTCAAAATACCCATAGCCAGAGTTAAGCAAGTTCTCTAGCCCAGCACCAGTCATTGACATCACCGAACCATCGCCGAACTGAACGAAGCGGAAACCTGGATTTGTATTATCAATCTGATAAGCACATGGAATCTGGTAATAGTAAGCACTTGTGGACGAATCGAGATAATTCCATCCTCCATTGGTTGGTTTAGCAAATCCACTAGTGAAATCACCATAGGAATCTTGATAAAAACTTGGATTTGCACCAGGATACTGAGGATATGCACTCGGGTTGCCGGAAACCCGTTACTTACACTCCAACCTTTGAAGGTTATACTGGTTTTCTAAACTATGGAAGGTCCGGAAACGATTTTGATACCATTCTTCCGTATGCTCCAGTTTTCTATTCGATCTTTCCATAAAAGCTTGAATCTGTTGCTCCAACTGATTCAAACCCCCGCCGGACTCTGCCATTAACACCGATGAACAGCCGAAAATCGTCGGCTCTGATACCAATTGTAACGATTCCCACGTTGGAATCGTCATGAGAAAGGAAAACAAGAACTAGAAAAGAAAGAAAGAAAATGCAGAGAAAACAAAAGACTCAATTTTCATTTAACATACCTCTACAGTGCTCTATTACAAGATATATAAAGCAAACCTAACATGGCTACTAACGAAAATAGATTATAAAAATGAGGCTAAAATGCAATAGTAAAACTAAAGAGGGCCAAACTACAAATAACAAAACTTAGCCAATATCTCCGTCCGTTACATGCAATTAAGATTTTACTTAATGATATGGTTAGTAGAAGTAAATTTAATTAGAACAATGGTAAAATATACGCCTAAGTATATATGGACAAACGAAATAAATTATTATGTGAATAAAAATAACAGAGCCAATTTTTCAGATACTACTACACTTGTCTTCCTTCTCTGCTCTCAAAGACTCCAACTAAGCGTTGGTTCATATCGAAGAGAAGTAGTTCTACCGCGGGACTACGTTTCTCATTGATGCACCGCGTATTCTTTGCTCAATGTCGGAAATACTATTACAGTCACGCAATTGCAGCGAATTCTCAGATTTGTCGTTTAGCTCGTTTGGGCCAAATTCAGAATGCCCGAAGGGTGTTCGACGAAATGTCCGACAAAACTGTAACTTCTTGGAACTCTATAGTCGCTGGATATTTCCAAAATCAGCAACCCTATGAAGGCCAGCGTCTTTTTGATCAAATGCCTGAGAGAAACATTGTTTCCTGGAATGGGTTAATCTCAGGTTATGTAAAGAATGGGATGGTGAAAGAAGCAAGAAAGGTGTTTGACAAAATGCCCCAAAGAAATGTCATTTCCTGGACTGCTATGGTCAGAGGGTATGTTGAGAAGGGATTGGTTGAGGAGGCGGAAACTCTGTTTTGGCAAATGCCTGAAAAGAATGTTGTGTCATGGACTGTGATGTTAGGGGGGTTGATTCAAGAAGGGAGAATTGATGAGGCTAGAACGCTTTACGACATGATGCCAGTAAAGGATGTAGTTGCAAGGACTAGTATGATATGTGGGTATTGTCAGGAAGCCAGGTTGGAAGAGGCTCGCGACCTCTTTGATGACATGCCACAAAAGAATGTCGTTTCTTGGACTGCCATGGTATCAGGATATGCTCAAAATGGTAAACTGGATATTGCTAGAAAACTATTTGAAGTCATGCCTGATAAGAATGAGATCTCATGGACTGCAATTGTAATAAGCAATGTGCAATATGGTAGATTTGAAGAGGCGTGGAAGCTTTTCGAAGTAATGCCTGTAAAAACCACTCCTGCTTGTAACGCCATAATACTTGGAATTGGACAGAATGGGGAGGTTGCTAAAGTAAGGATGGTGTTTGATCATTTAAAGGAGAAGGATGATGCAACATGGAGTGCAATGATCAAGGTTTACGAAAGGAAAGGGTATGAGTTAGAGGCGCTGGATTTGTTTCAACGAATGCAAGTAGAAGGATTTCGGCCAAATTTCCCTTCCTTGATAAGCATGCTTTCAATTTGTGCTAGTCTTGCAAGTCTTGATTATGGTAGAGAGATACATGCAAAGTTAATCAGAACCGACTGTGATGATGACGTGTATGTCTCATCTGTATTAATCACAATGTACATTAAATGCGGTGATTTCGTCAAGGCAAAAATAATATTTGACAGATTTTCTCCTAAAGATGTAGTCATGTGGAATTCCATTATAACAGGTTATGCTCAACATGGTTTAGGAGATGAAGCTCTAGAAGTGTTCAGAGAAATGTGTTCTTTAGGTATTACCCCAGACGAGGTTACCTTTGTTGGAGTTCTATCTGCATGCAGCTACACTGGGAAAGTGAAAGAAGGGCAAGGCATCTTCGAGTCCATGAATTCAAAATATCAGATGGAGCCAGCAACTGCACATTATGCTTGCATGGTAGACATGCTTGGTCGAGCTGGACGGTTGAATGAGGCAATGGATCTGATCAACAAAATGACTGTAGAAGCAGATGCAATTGTTTGGGGTTCTTTGATGGGTGCATGTAGGATGCATATGAACCTAGACTTGGCGGAAGTTGCTGCAAAGAAACTTTTACAGCTTGAACCCCAAAATTCTGGGCCCTATGTCCTACTTTCTAATATTTATGCATCCAAAGGTAAGTGGGCTGATGTTGCTTCGCTTAGGAAGTCAATGCAGTCTAGGGAAGTGGTTAAATCACCGGGTTGTAGTTGGCTTGAGGTAGACAAGAAGGTGCATATGTTCACCGGTGGACAGAGCACACCCCATCCCGAGCATGAATTGATCATCAAAATGTTAGAAAAGTTGCTCCCTATGTTAAGAGAAGCTGGATATAGTCCTGATGGAAGCTTTGCTCTGCATGACGTGGATGAAGAAGAGAAGATGCATAGCTTGAATTATCACAGTGAGAAACTAGCTGTGGCCTATGGACTTCTGAAATTGCCTGAAGGTGTGCCTATACGAGTTATGAAAAATCTTCGGGTTTGTGGTGATTGTCATTCTGCTATTAAATTAATATCTAAAGCCACAGGACGAGAGATAATTCTGAGAGATGCCAACAGATTTCACCATTTTAAGGATGGGGTATGTTCATGTAGGGATTATTGGTGACTGCTTTATTACTTGTGTGCATAATTCATTACAAACAGCTTTGGTGTTGTGGTAAATGGTGACTATGCACTTATTTAGCAGCCAGCTGTATGCATTCGCTTCTAATAGATTATGGAAGAGTATCATAAAACCCACTAGTGCGAGCATTTCATCTCAAATTACTGGAGATATTGTGTATGCTGAGTTTGTCGAATAAGTATAGAGGATTGTGTTGTCTACTCAAACAAAGACATTTGTGAATATAAAAGAATGCAAAGATTAGGACGGAGCTAATTTTTTCGGGTTTTGAAAGATATAGGGTTGGATTATAGACATTTTGAGCTTAATATCTGATCTAATGCTAAACAATGCTCTGCACCAAGCCAGATCACCCATTATTGCAACTTTCAGAACAGGAGTTCCACTAGCTGGAGCTGGTTTCCAGAGCATGAACCAAGTCATAGAATTAGCGTGAACAAACTAGAGCCGGAGACTTAGCGTTTGAACTGTGTTGAGCAGACATGACTTCTACCTTAACTTTGTCCTTTTCACTATGCATCAGCCAGGCTGACGAATTAAAATGGCTAATCTATCAAAGACAATCTTGTTTCCGATCATGGCATGGCTTTACTGAGTTGGCATTGTTGCAGCTATTCTGATCTTCATCAGCCACTTGTAGTACAGAGCCAAACTAGCGGAAGGTTGACAAGAATTCAAGAGAAGGTAAACCGTCCTGCCTAAGTTCACTGAAGTTTGCTTTCTAATCAAATTAGTTGTTACTGAAAGATATTATACTAAAATTCCATCAATTGAAACTGATATCCTGTTATTCTCTTTTCCCCGTTTTTTAGTTTTTTTCTATTGCAGATTGTTGTCTTTCTGCATTTTCTTCACCTTGTAGTAGTTCATATCTGTTTAAACTATTCAAAGCTATATGTGAATTGAAACTGATATCCTGTTATTTTGGGTGTATGTTTTTCTTTTGTGTTATTTTCAATTTCAGCTTTCCGTGGTTTGGGCTTGGCTTATAAGCATCGTTTGCTGGTTTCTTTTGCATTCTAATCCTTTTGTATTGCATATCACATACTTGAGCAGGAGTCATACTCCTGGTTTTGTTGTTATAGCAGGGTTGGTGAAATAGAATGAGATCAGCTTGTGGCGGACTTCCATAAGTGTACGGGTGTAATTATGATTTACTTCTTCACTTTGCAAATGGAGATGAACCTTAAGCTTTGTGTTTAGTGCTTCCTATTTTTCTTACCTTGCTGCTAGTTTTTCTTTTTTTCTTTTTCATATTAAATGGTGGTATTGTTGATTAAAAAACTTGCTTCTGCTTTAATCAGGTGCTTCCCCCTCGAAGCTGATGGATATCCTGTTTAACCCTTCTAATGGGATTGCGTACTCTGAGAAAAGATTCAAACAGTGCCATTGCTAGGGAACTGTTTTGCCTTTCAGCAGACTAAGCAGCTTTAGGTTTATATCATGTTATATCGTCAGTGAATGCTGATCATATAGTAGAAGACTTGGCTGTGATATTAGGTTGCAAGGTGGAAACCCCACCGTTTATCTTGAACTACATCTGGGAGCAAAACACAAAGAATCTGGCACTTGGCAAAGTGTCATTGACAGATGTAAAAACAGATTTGCTCCAAAGAAAGGTACAGCTTCTTTCTTGAATAAAATAAAGCCTGACTTTCTATGGTAATGAAATTCTGAGAAGAAAGAAATGCATTGAGTCAGATGGCCCATATTGACTAAGACAAAAAGAAATACTATGAGGTATGGGAATCAAAAATCTGAAATGCTCAACAAAAGTTTGTTCCCGAATAGTGTAGGAGGTACAATGAGCACGGATGAATTGTGGAAGAATGTGATAACAGTACAATACAGCAAAACTGATAACTGTTGCACTAAACCAGTGACTACTTCATATGAGTTGCACCACAGAAACCAATTAGAGGTTGGACTTTGTAAGGAAAAGATAACTGAAGGGGCGCAATGCCAGGAAGATCAGATTATGGCCAGATAAATAGCTGAAAGGTCTATTTTGAAAGAGCTGTTTCCTGACCTTTGCAATATAGCCATCTTCAAGAATCATAACAATCTCCAGATGCTACACTGGAGATGGATGGAAGAAGTTTCAGTCACTGGGTATAAAAAGGGTAATTTAATCCGCTGTTGCAGAAACTGGAAGCAGTAAATATGGAGGTGGAACAAGGCCCCATAGTATGGACAGGCTGCACTGAATGCGGATTCTCAGTTAACTCCTGTTAGAAAAAATTGCTTCAACAGAAAAGTTGCAGTAACTCACTGTCGGAAGGAATATGATTAGGAAGAGAAGAGTTCCTACAAAAGTTGCATGCTTTTTATGGATTACAACTGATGGTACCTGTTTGACACAAGATGACCTACAGAGGAGAGGATAACAGTTATGCTGCAGTAAGCTCCATCAGTCTGTTTTACCATTTATTAGCCCTTGAAGTCATTTTCTCTGTTGCATGTATTGGTTTCTCTTTCTTTTCTTTTTTTGGGTGCCTGCTCTATCTTTTATTCTGTTATTCATGTCTACTATAAATCGTTATGCTCCATGTCAATTGAAACTAATATTTTGGTCATTTCGTTTTCTTTCTATTATGCATGGTTTGGATGTCGCCTGGATGCATAATAGTATGACTGTATGCGTATAGCTGCTGAGAACCAGAGCATGATCTATTTTAAGGAGAAACAACTCCTGAATTCCAAAAACTTTGCTAGAGAGACAACAACCCAAAGGTGACCAAATAAATGTGCACATGAGTTCTTAAATTTCTTCATGCTCTTTTGGCAAAAAGATAAAATTCTGCATACTGCACGCAGTATCAAACTGATGGACAGAGACAACAAACAAACTGGTACCAAATGCTGATAAGAAGTTGCAATTATAACAGGAAAGTTATCCAAATGATGACACCAATAGATCACATAAATATTTTGCTACTTGACGCCGGTCCTTAAGTTAGGCAGCTGCCACAATAATCTGTGAATTTACCATAAACATAATGCTGATGGCTTACTCTTTCTTTTTGACTGTACAAGGATCCGAAAAATCACCTCCAACTCTAGCTCAATGAAAATTGTCTTAAATTCCTGATTACAAGTAAAAGAACAACAAAATATTCATACTTTTAGTAATAAGAAGGAAAGCTCAATAATTCTTGGAACACCCATAATTCAAAGTCTCATCATCCGTATGGATCCAACATCAACCACCTTAACATAAGACATCAGTTGCTATAGAAACAGAAGCAATTCCACCACCATTACTAATGAACAGACAGCTGAATCAATCATATGTGTCGAGGGGAAAGAAACAGAATAAAGGGTAGCTCGGTGCACGAAGCATCTATATTCACGCAAGGTCCGGGGAAGGACCGCACCCAAGAGGTATGATGTAGGCAGCTTACTCTGATGCAAGCATCAATGGCTGATTCTACGACTTGAACCCGTGACATATACGTAACAAAAAATAATTTTACCGTTGCTCCAAGGCTCCCTTTCGAGAAAGAAAAAGAATACAAAAAGGAAAAGGGTCAACTCAATTTGACTATACACATTCAGAAAATAAAATTCGGGTAGATGTGTGATCAGTAGTTACAGGTAGATCAGATTATCAAGTCGAAATCAACCCAATTCTGTCCCAGATTTGAAGAAGAAGAAATAGAGGAATTATCAGAATCTTGATGATGAGATGATGAAGTAGAAGAAGCAGCGTAAGAATAACGTTGGTAGGAATAAAGGTTATGAGGAAAACAGAGGAAAGTCCAAACACAGAGACCAATCCGTTGAAGAGGAAAACAGATAACAAGATCCAACAGTTGCTGGCTGCTTATTGGATCTTGCAAACACGCCAAAAACTGCCAAATCTGCGCTGAAAACTTTGCCACTGACACCACTAATACCCCATTGAATGCCATGTTTAGTTAGAAGGTATGCTCTTCTTCTGTTTTTCTTTAGAGTTCTGCTCTCAACACTTACTTTTCACTTTTCTGTCATTTCCCTCAACTTGAAACTGAATGAATGTTGTCCACTTGTCTGCCAGTTGAGGGTGTAAGGTGTAAGGTGTAAAGTTGGGGAGAAGTGGTCAGCTGGAATTAATTGGCAATATTATATTGGTTTTAAGGGAGTGGTTAAGCTGTAATGGTAAACCTATTGCTTTGTTGGATATGTATATCATCTAGTCTGACTCGGTTACCAAATAATGTTTGTATTAAATATCGTTATGACAATATTCTAACACATGATTCACAAGGATCTTTGGCTTTTTGAAAGAGACAAATTAAAAAAAAAAAAAAAAAAAAAAAGTATTGTGGATACAGAATTTCTTATTAAATGTAGCTAACTAATCAAAATGAAGCAACTCACCACAATATAGAAGTTGAGGCGCAGATGAGTTGTACATCTTGAAACAAGACAGCCAACATATTCACATTAAGATAATTTTTCCTTGAACATAAAAGATTGCCCACCCATATTCTTTCAATTTGGGTTTACAAGTCTGATAAAATATCTTGATCGGAAATTATTAACAATATTTTATAATATGGATTGCATATTTGCATCAGTGCTTTTAGGACAAGGAAGAATCAAATAATACATCTGAAAGTTAAATCCTAGAATAGTCTATATCCAGATGCATCAGTTTATTTATTCTTTTCGTCATTAATTAGGCAATTAAATTAATTGTTTGAGTACAAATTTTTTCCTTTTATGTATATTAATTTACTCGTTTTAAAGATTAGAACATGTTATTTTGGACAACTCTTTTGGTTATCACAAAGTCAATTACTCTTATTAATTACAAAATTATTTGGTTTTCTGTATTATTGTTTAAAAGAATAAATATCTATTGCCAGCTCATGTTGTTCCCTATTCAAAAAGTTAATCACTTTGATTTGAATAAATCGATCATATCAGATAACATTATTGTACCTCATAGAATTAAAGCAATGTAATTTTAAATAATATATCTAAGTAGCCTTATTCACTTTTTCATCTTTGTATACGGTCAAGATCGTATGCCTTCGATCTATAGGCTCGAGGGGTCGCCCTAAGCCCGAGTTCAGGCAAGGTCGAGTTCGAGCCCGATGGATCAGACTCGAGCTCAAAGATAGGATGCAAGGCCCGAGGATCGGAGTACGAGGAATACCGAAGCCGAGTACGCTCGACCTCGAAGTAATGCCGTTATGGATTTTTAACAGAATGAGCGAGATTCCTGCCACGTCCCCAAGATCATGGCACAAATCCCGGGATAGAATTGTACGATTCTGTACTAGGCGGTTAGACAGTTGTACCAATAATATTCCTTACTGTAAATAGAAATGTACCTTATTTAGGGTTTCCCTATTATATAAAGGGGACCCCAATCATTTGTAACATCATCTAATCATTGGCAAAGAATATACTATCCTACTTTTCTCGCTTATTGTTCCTCAGAGCTGTCCTTTTACTTTATTATTCTTGGTCCATCTCGAGGTCACTGAGCTCGAGGTCAATTGCTTAAGTAACATTGGTTTGATTCATCCATCTCTTTCATCTACACTCTATATTTCTTGATTATTAATTGGTATTGAATTAAATCACATATCTTTAAAACCACAAATCAAATTTAACTGTTACTCGTATTTTCGTTTGGCGCCCACCGTGGGGCTAAAGATAATAGTGATTATTTCTTTACTGATTCTCGTTACACACGTTATTTTTACACTTTTTCTTGTTAAGATTTTCTGATTCTCAGGATTAAACATGTCAAACTCGCAAAATACAGATGTTCATGACAACGAAGGTCTTGGATTTCATGGGAAAAACAACAATGCAGGGGTCGGTGTACCACCAATAAACCCTGGGGAAGTGCCAAATCTGGAAACAATTGACATCAGTTCGCACATTGCTTTAAATGCAGATTTAGGTGCAGACCCCGGAGGGAGCGTACGCAGAGAAGCCCGATCTGGGGGCCAAGGAACACCAGGTATAGGAGATGGGGAAGTCAGCCTCCAAGTGATATTCGAGATGTTGCAAGCTCAGCAGATCGCCATCGCTCAACTTCAAAGTCAGAATAAAACTCCGAGTATAGCTGAACTAGAAAACACTCCACGTGCTGAACCAATGCCAGAAAGGTCGAACGGAAATGACTCGGGGACTGACCCCACTATTATGAGGATGCTCGAAGAGCTCACCAAGAGGATCGAGTCCGGGAAAAGAAGATTGAGGACAACGATAAGAAGGTGGAGACTTATAACTCCCGTGTTGACCAGATACCGGGGGCACCTCCAGTATTGAAAGGTTAGATGCAAAAAATTCATACAAAAACCATTCCCTCAGAGCGCGGCTGCGATGCCCATCCCAAAAAAGTTCCGCATGCCCGATATACCCAAGTATAACGGGACAACCGACCCTAACGAGCATATTACTTCATACACTTGCGGGATCAAAGGAAACGACTTAATGACGATGAGATCGAATCAGTCTTGTTGAAAAAATTTGGAGAAACATTGTCAAAAGGAGCCATGATTTGGTATCACAACTTGCCTCCTAACTCGATTGACTCGTTTGCTATGTAGGCAGACGCCTTCGTGAAAGCACATGCCGGAGCCATAAAGGTGGCAACGAGGAATCAGCTGTATTCAAGATAAAACAAAGGAACGACGAAATGTTAAGAGAGTTCGTGTCCAGGTTTCAGATGGAGCGAACGGAATTACCACCGGTCTCGGATAACTGGCAGTACAAGCTTTTATGCAGGGTTTGAATGAAAAGAGTTCGATCGCGTCTCGACAACTAAAGCAGAATATGATCGAGTATCCAGCAGTGACATGGTTCAATGTACATAAGATTAGGGTCGAGGACAACCAGTTGGGAGCCCCCTCGCGTTCAGTTCATCCTAACAGATCGGCAGCCAAGCCCTCGAGGGATACAGACAGGGAGTCGAGGTCTAACAAGAAACGATATCAGTCGTATGTCGATCGGAGAAACAGCGGTTCGGGTTGTAATTCTCCTCGAAATGATCGAAGAAACGATCGAGGTCAAAGCTCTCGGGGACTCATGAGTAAGAGCGGGTTCGATAAACATACCGATCCCGTGGAGGCACCTCGATTGTCAGAGTATAATTTCAGCGTAGACGCATCAGGTATCGTGTCAGCTATTGGAAGAATCAAAGACACCAGGTGGCCCAGACCTATCCAAACCGATCCTTCTCAGAGAAATCCAAACTTGATGTGTAAGTATCATGGCACACATGGCCATAGAACCGAAGACTGCAGGCAGCTAAGGGAGGAGGTAGCTCAGTTGTTCAACGAGGGTCACCTTCGAGAATTTCTCAGTGATCAAGCTAAAAACCACTTCAGGGAGAGAGATGCAAGAAAAAATGAGCAAGAAGAACCACAACATGTAATCCACATGATCGTTGGCAGTGTCGACATCCCACAAAGACCTGTGTTCAAATGCACCAAGGTATCGATCACCAGAGAAAAAACGAACTCGGAGCTATGTGCTCGACGACGCCTTATCATTCTATGACGAGGAAGCGGAAGGCATATCTCAACCGCACAATGACGCCCTGGTAATTTCTATCCTTTTAAATAAA